GTAGAACAGGTGTAAATGCGCAGTGCTTTCGCAGAGCTTTCATTTCTGTTCAAGTTATTCATGTGAAGAGGTTTTGACGTGATGATGACCGCACGACGGGAATTAACAGACTTTGAACGCGGAATGTTAGTTGGAGCTAGACGCATGGGTCATGCCATTTCGGAAATCGTTAGGGAATTCAACATTCCCAGATCCACTGTGTCAAGAGTGTGCCGAGAGTATGAAATTTCAGGCATAACATCCCACCATGGACAGCGCAGTGGTCGACCGCCTGCACTTAACGACCGAGACCGGCGACGTCTGCAAAGAGTCGTAAATTCTAACAGACAAGCAACACTGCGTCAAATAACCGCAGAAATCAATGTGGGACGTACAAGGGACTTGTCTGTTAGAACTGTGCGGAGAATTTGGCTTTCTTGGGCTATTCCAGCAGAAGACCGACTCGAGTGCCTTTACTGACAGAACGACATCGCTTGCAGCGACTCTCGTGGGCACGTGAGCATATCGGTTGGTCCCTAGATGAATGGAAAACCGTGGCCTGGTCCGATGAGTCACGATTTCAGTTGGTAAGAGCTGATGGTAGGGTTCGAGTGTGGCGGAGACCCCACGAAGCCATGGACCCAAACTGTCAGCAAGGCACTGTTCAAGCTGGTGGTGGCTCCGTAATGGTGTGGGCTGTTTTTTCATGGCATGGACTTGGTCCTCTGGTGCGACTGGACCGAACATTGACTGGAAATGCTTATGTTCAGCTACTTGGAGATCACTTGCAGCCATTCATGGACTTCCTGTACCCAAACAACGATGGGATTTTTATGGATGACAATGCGCCATGTCACCGGGCCGCAACTGTTCGCGATTGGTTTGAAGAACATTCTGGACAATTCCAACGAATGATCTGGCCACCTAGATCGCCCGACATGAATCCCATCGAGCATTTATGGGACATCATCGAGAGGTCTGTTCGTGCTCAAAATCCTGCACCATCAACGCTTTCACAATTATGGACGTTTATCGAGACAGCATGGCTCAATATTCCTGCAGAAGACTTCCAACGACTTGTTGAGTCCATGCCACGTCGAGTTGCTGCACTTCGCCGCGCGAAAAGAGGGCCGACACGATATTAAGAGGTATCCCATGACTTTTGTCACTTCAGTGTATATACAGAACATGAGTGCGCAGAAGATCTACCTCCCCGTGATGCACCTGGTAACACTTTTTAGTGGCTAAAAGATCTGCAGCTTGGCATTATTGTTAGATTAATGAACTCTGTTTCAGCATGTTTTGTTGTATTTGCTGTATTATTTTGTTGTTGTTGTATGTTGTATGTTATATATATATATATATATATATATATACAGAACATGATATATATTTATTATATATATATTTACAAAAACATGAAAAATAAAGAATTAAATTTGATTCACAGGTGCAGTTCACTCCAAGGGCGGAGAATTACAGAGTTCTTGAGTCTACGACGAATCTAATGCACTGGGTCTGCAGCAGACCTTAATTATCACACTGCGGGATACACGAAACCACAAGAAGCTCACTGCGTAAACTGGCGGAATAGCCTGCCTGTCCAATCACTTTCAGAAACTAAGAAAAAAAAACACGTCTTTTCTACTCGTCGCATAACTTTCTTCTTTTCCTTCTCTAAAAAACCTCCCTTTAAGAAAATCCGTCAAAGGGGAGGGGGGAGGGGACATCTTTCCACACTTCTCATTGATGCCAATACTTCCTCAGTCCATAGTGTATCATCATTCAAGATGCAGCAACTCATCACATTGTTCATCTGTAATTGTCGAACAGATAATCGCTAATTTCATGATGTCTCATTATCCATGACATTGATTATCTTCTCCCATGTGGTCTAGTGGTTAGGATTCCTGGCTTTAATCAAGGCGGCCCGGGTTCGATTCCCAGCATGGGAAGTGGGATGTTCCATGGTGTAATGGTTAGCACTCTGGACTCTGAATCCAGCGATCCGAGTTCAAATCTCGGTTGACCTTCAATGGAGACGAGAAGACATTTACCATTTGTCATTGTTCGGCTATCGTGTCTTCCTCTCATCTCATCGATTGTATTGGTGCCTCTGTGAGGCAACTGTTGAATGAAGTGAGGACTGTTTACGGTCTATTGATGCAGCATGATCTACTGGACATGGTTTAGGATTCTAAATCAAGGGGATAAGCAACTATTTATCTACTGTCAAATTTGAGTGACAGGTTTGTTTCCATTAGTACAAAACACTAATTGCTTGTAATATAAATATCCACAATACTTATCTGCTGTTAGATTTGAATGATAGTTTGTCATCATGCACTTATTAAAGAATATGCATTCCTTTCATATGGGAACAGAAATGCTATATCTCTTCTCGTGGGAAAATGTTACAATATCTTTTTCTCTCATTTGATTATGCATATTTCATTGCAAAATATCACATCCAGCCTTCATTTAGTCCTAATTAATTAATTGCATTCGTTTCCCGGACAACTTCAAAGCGGAGTATCACCTTTTCTTGCACAATAAATAAGCAAAATGTACATCAATCAATAGAATAAATTTGACAACATCAATGAATAATGTTAGTGATGGGGGAATAATTATTAGTTTATTAGAAAGGAATAGTGGGAGGTCAAAATAAGGTTATCTATATTTGAAGCACATCCTGTTCCTTTAAAAGTTAACAAATTGTAAATGTTATGAAAGATGTTTCGTCAACGAAAAAAAAATAAATAAATAAACGCAAAGAATTAATTACTCTAATGAAATAATAAAAATGTAGAAATATTTAGCTGTATAAACAAACTTACCAACTAGAACTATCATTATGATTGATAGGGTAATATTCAACTACAAATTTCTGTACACAAACACACACACAAATTAATACATTTGTAATTAAGCAGATTTTCCATCAGAAAAATTTATATAAATATCTTATTATTTATAAAAATTAAAAATTTAAAAATTAGATGAATATAGATTGAAAAATTTAATGTTTATAAATTTTTTATCATTTTAGTTAACATTACAATTACAACAATAAAATGTTTAGGTAATTTTACAGTTCTAATTTTTAAGAAATACTACATCATAATGTTTTATTTTGTGTAATAATTATTAGCAATGATAATAATAAATTATAAAAGCTTACCAAATAATATCTCTAATTGGAGTAGAAAAAGATGAAATTGCACAAAAAGTTACGAGATAATAATAATGCAGGAGCGCTGACGAACAAATATCGAATATCTGAAATCACCGGCTGTCTCCGAACCAGTTGGATCTATTTCGGACTTCGATGTTGAAATCACTTTTCTCCTTCGCTCAGCTGATCATGACCAAAACAATTATATCTGCTTCAAAAAAAATAATTAGTATTTAACAGGGGGGCTGAAAAGTTCATAGGCTGACAGACTAGTATTAAGATAGTAGATGGAGCTACTAGAATTAAATCCATATAATTTTCAGTTAGCCCTAACCTTCAAAAGATACGTGTATAAATTTGACAGCTGTTGCACTATTAGTATATGAGTTATAGCATTTTTAGTGAAGCAAATTTTGTTAGTTTGAAAAAAAGGATAAAAAGGAATTTCGTGTGTTAATAAAGCATTGCCTTTTTGGAGAGAAAAAAAAATACTATTGAAGCCAAGGCTTGATAAACATTATTCCGACTTTGCATCAGGAAAATCAAGCATAGAGAAGTGGTTTGCTAAATTTAAACGAGGCGAAATGTGCACCGAGGATGATGCACGCAGTGGACGCCCCAAAGAGGCTGTTACCAACGAAAACATCAAAAAAATCCCCAAAATAATTTCTGATAACCGTAAAGTGAAGTTGATTGAGATAGTTGAAACCCTAAAGATATCAAAGGAACGTGTTGGACATATCGTGAATGAATATTTGGATATGCGAAAGCTCTGTTTAAAGTGGGTGCCGCGCGAACTCACAATCGATAAAAAACAAGAACGAATTGATGATTCTAAGCAGTGTTTGGAGCTGTTCAATCGTAATAAACCCGAATTTTTGCGTCGATATATGACAATGGATGAAACATGGCTCCATCATTTCACACCGATGTCCAATCGACAGTCAGCCGAGTGGACTGCACGTGATGAACACTAAAAATGCTATAACTTCATTAAAAATGCTATAACTCACATACTAACAGTGCAACGGCTGTCAAATTTATACGCGTGTCTTTTGAAGGTTAGGGCTAACTAAAAATCACATGGATTTAATGCTAGTAGCGCCATCTATGTGTCAGCCTAGGAACTTTTCAGCCCACCTGTTAGATGTTAGACATCGAAATTAACGCGATTTCAGCGATACTGATCTGTTTTAAAAAATCGATATTTTCAAGTTGAACATCGAAAACAAAGCGTTACTAACGAACGAATTACCATCAATGTTACAAGACATCGGTTTCTTAAATCAGAATTTTGCTAACGTAAGAATAATAAAATCGGATATGTGATTTTAGACTTAAATAGATATTTCGATGCGCATCGACATATATCGGCCAGCATCATCCTCTAGCAAATCACATACAAAGAAATCAAAACTTTCGTAATTTTACTGTGCATCATATAAATCCCTTTACATGATAGTGATAATTCATGATAATCTATGGTTTTTTTTGAGAGAGAGTTTAGATAATTCTACACCCACGAAAAAAAATTTCAAAAAAATTCGTTAAAAATTCTGTTGTTGTTTGTTGTTGTTGTTTCTTATCCCACTTGGCTGGCAAGGCCCACGAGCCCATGATTGAAGGGGAAGGAAGCAGCTTCTGTTGTGATGGAGCACCCGTAGGTAGAAGCCTGACTTTTGCTCCGTGACGCTCTTACAGTCATAGGAGACTGGGACCTACAGCTTAAAGTGGATTCCGAACCACTACAAATATCCATGGCACCGCCGGGATTCGAACCCGAAACCTGTGGCACCGAGCGCCAGAGCGCCAGACACTCGGCCATTCAGGTCCCAAATTTGCCAACGACACGCGGTGTTCCCAGGTGGTCACCCACCGCGCCCAATGATGCTTCACTTCGGTGATCTAACGAGAACCGGTATATTCAGCATGGTACGGCCGTTGGCTCTAAAAATTCTAAAAACTAAAATAAAAACAATCAAAATCTTCCATGTCATCCCTCTCTTCCTGATAAAGTTGTACTAAATAAAAAAAGAATCGGGTAATCCACGTTATATTTCTATAAACTAAACATTGTCAAATTTCATTGCTGAGCCTTTTTTAAAATGAAGTCTTTTTTGTAAATCATATTTACACAGCAAGGAGCATAAAAATAACTCAATTTTTAAAAGATGTTTCATTTCGTATTTCATGTATCATCATATTTTATTCTTGTTAAGATCAAGAATATAGAATTTGTATCATCTTAAAAGATAAATATAGATTAGGAGTGACATAGGAGAAAATATTGTACACTAATAATATTTATTATTCTTGATCACCTAATTTAATAAATATATTTTATTTAGTTTTAAGAAAATAAGAACCTAATCTTCTGTATTGTGTTAAGCATTTCTTTCGTATTGTACAAACCTAATATTTGTGTTATATGAATTAACCTGCATATTTATGACTTGATCATCTATTTTTAATACATATATTTTATTTAGTTTTAATAAAATAAGAAAACCTTTTTTATTGTATTAAGCAATTCTTTTGTATTGTTCAGATCTAATGGCTGTGTTATATGGATTAACCTTCTTATTTATTTCTTGATCCCCTATTTTAAGAAGATAAGAACATAACCTTCTGTATTGTATAATATTAAGCATTTCTTTTGTATTGTATACTACAGTTGGTTGTGTTATATGAATTAACCTGCATATTTATAAGTTCATTTTGCTAAACAATAGTTAGTGATGTATTAGTAATGAGAAAATTTAATATAAAGTATATAATAAGGAGTATATAATGAACATACAATTATTTAAATAATTAAATTAAGGAGATCTATAGTGGTCTGAAACATACGCTCTATAGCGCTGTTACTTCTTGCAAAAATTATTCTGATTGTACTGTGACTAATAATAAACAAAAACCAGAAAGATAAAGAAAACTTATGCTATATGTAAGCCTCCATTATTATTCAAGGCCCAAATAGACATAAAATTTTACTGAATCCAATTGTCGCAGTTTCTTTAAATGTGTTCTTCGACTAAGGCTGTTACAAAATCTTTTACATTACGTGATGCGCCCATCAAATCCTCAGAAAGGTAACAGTGAATAAAAAATGTGTCTAGACTGAGAACAATGTGTCAATAAATGTGATTGTGGTTAAAATAAGAAAAAAGTTTCATACTTTGTTATAGAGGATTCAAACTGCAATATTTGATTATGATTCAGATTTGTTTGCCGTAGACAGACAGTAGTGAAAAGGAAAAAAAATTATACAAAATTTAAACTAAATTAATTCAATAAATTAAATAAATTTTTATATTTTTTCTCTTATGTTTCATTAGTTTTTGTAATAATTATACATCAAGAGACGTATAATTATAACAAACATTAATAACTAAGAAAAAACACCATATATCCTATCAGTATATTTCATTATATATTTTATTTGTACTAATGAATACTTGATTATAATACAGAATTATTGTTTCTATTTAGTATGATAGAGAAAAAAATCATGTCCTATTAGTATATTTTATTAGTATTGTTAATATGGAATTATAATACATGATTGTTATTTCTATTTAGTGTGATAAAAAAATATATCTTATAAATATATTTCCTTACATATTATATTAGTACTGTTTAATATGGAGTTATAATGCAAAATCATTGTTTCTATTTAGTACAATTAAGAAAAATACCCATATATATTAGTATATTTTATATTTTATTAATACTATCTAATATGGAATTATACACTGAAGTGACAAAAGTCATGGGATACCTCTTAATATCGTGTCGGCCCTCCTTTCACCCGGCGAAGTGGCATGGACTCAACAAGTCGTTGGAAGTCTTCTGCAGGAATATTGAGCCATGCTGTCTCGATAGACGTCCATAATTGTGAAAGCATTGATGCTGCAGGATTTTGGGCACGAACAGACCTCTCGATGATGTCCCATAAATGCTCGAAGGGATTCATGTCGGGCGATCTAGGTGGGCAGATCATTCGTTGGAATTGTCCAGAATGTTCTTCAAACCAATCGCGAACAGTTGTGGCCCGGTGACATGGCGCATTGTCATCCATAAAAATCCCATCGTTGTTTGGGTACATGAAGTCCATGAATGGCTGCAAGTGATCTCCAAGTAGCTGAACATAAGCATTTCCAGTCAATGTTCGGTCCAGTCGCACCAGAGGACCAAGTCCATGCCATGAAAAAACAGCCCACACCATTACGGAGCCACCACCAGCTTGAACAGTGCCTTGCTGACAGTTTGGGTCCATGGCTTCGTGGGGTCTGCGCCGCACTTGAACCCTACCATCAGCTCTTACCAACTGAAATCGTGACTCATCGGACCAGGCCACGGTTTTCCATTCATCTAGGGACCAACCGATATGCTCACGTGCCCACGAGAGTCGCTGCAAGCGATGTCGTTCTGTCAGTAAAGGCACTCGAGTCGGTCTTCTGCTGGAATAGCCCAAGAAAGCCAAATTTCTCCGCACAGTTCTAACAGACAAGTCCCTTGTACGTCCCACATTGATTTCTGCGGTTATTTGACGCAGTGTTGCTTGTCTGTTAGAATTTACGACTCTTTGCAGACGTCGCCGGTCTCGGTCGTTAAGTGCTGGCGGTCGACCACTGCGCTGTCCATGGTGGGATGTTATGCCTGAAATTTCATACTCTCGGCACACTCTTGACACAGTGGATCTGGGAATGTTGAATTCCCTAACGGTTTCCGAAATGGCATGACCCATGCGTCTAGCTTCAACTAACATTCCGCGTTCAAAGTCTGTTAATTCCCGTCGTGCGGTCATCATCACGTCAAAACCTCTTCACATGAATAACTTGAACAGAAATGAAAGCTCTGCGAAAGCACTGCGCATTTATACCTGTTCTACGCGATGCTACTGCCATCTGAAAATTTGCATATTGCTATCCCATGACTTTTGTCACTTCAGTGTAAAGCAGAATTATTGTTTCTATTTATTTAAGAAAAAACATATGTCTTTTTAGTACATTTTATTAGTACTATTTAATATGGAATTATGCAAAATTAATGTTTCCATTTAGTATAATAAAGAAAAAAAGAATTTTGTTAATTAAATTACTGTTCTTATTTTTAATACGCAATATTCTTTCAAAATGAATAATTATTGTTTCGCCAGTTAATTTATTTTCGAACTACTATTTAAAAATAAAACTTTTTGGAAAATTCAGAATTTTATACATTAAAATGTTAAGGTAAACTATTTAATATGAATTTATAATATTTAATCCGAATTTAAAATTCTAATATTTTATAATACAAAAGTATATCCAATTATTATAAAAAATATTTTGATTTTACAATTTGTATTAATAATATTAACACAAATAATAATAATATTGAAGCAATTTGGTATAGATGAACTGAATTCTAAGTATATCAGATAATAGATTAAGACTAAACTTTGCTGATAATTACTAACCGTTACAATAAAATATTTCAATAAATAAAATGTTAATCACTCACTTATTGGAAAATTATCAGTTCTTTCTCATAAAATGATGCACACATTGCCATAAAAAAACAAACGAATTTAAAAGTACTATTAAAGTACCAAATTAAATTGATCAGTATCACTTCAATCAGCAAATTGAAACATTTACAATACTTTAAGTATGTATTCAGTATAAAAATTAATAATTTTTAATGACGAATCAGCAAATTTGTAAATCTAATTAAATTTACATTCTGTTTATAACTGTTTATTTAAGATCATTTTTAAAAAATATCCTTTAAACAAACCAAGTTAAGAAAAAAACACCTTTGGATTCTAGAATATATATATGAATAAAGCTGAAATAATGATTTTGCATTTGTAAGCTGCTAAATATCAAATAATAAGTATTTTAATAATAAACATAAAATAAATAAAATTAAAATATGCTGATATAAAAATTAATATTAAACCCCAACCTTATTAAGTAATTTATAAATTTGCCAATAAAACCTGATTATAAATTGGTGAATATGCTTTTCTAATCACCCATTAATATTCCATCTAATGTCTATGTTATTTTAAGGACATGCCAATATCAAAAGATGCATGTCTCTAAAAATGGTATGTCTTTGATGAAAATGTCTATGTTATTTTAAGGACATGTCTACATTGAAAGATGCATGTCTCTAAAAATGGTATGTCTTTGATGAAAATGTCTATGTTATTTTAAGGACATGTCTACATTGAAAGATGCATGTCTCTAAAAATGGTATGTCTTTGATGAAAATGTCTATGTTATTTTAAGGACATGTCTACATTGAAAGATGCATGTCTCTAAAAATGGTATGTCTTTGATGAAAATGTCTATGTTATTTTAAGGACATGTCTACATTGAAAGATGCATGTCTCTAAAAATGGTATGTCTTTGAGGAAAATGTCTATGTTATTTTAAGGACATGTCTACATTGAAAGATGCATGTCTCTAAAAATGGTATGTCTTTGAGGAAAATGTCTATGTTATTTTAAGGACATGTCTACATTGAAAGATGCATGTCTCTAAAAATGGTATGTCTTTGATGAAAATGTCTATGTTATTTTAAGGACATGTCTACATTAAAAGATGCATGTCTCTAAAAATGGTATGTCTTTGATGAAAATGTCTATATTATTTTAAAGAAATGTCTATATTAAAAAATGCATGTCTCTGAAAATGGTATGTCTAAGATGAGCATGTCTATAGTAATATAAGGACAAAAATTTTTAAATCTAATTAAAACTTACACTTCTATTCATATTTTTCTTAATATTTCCGATCATTATAAACTTAAAATCATCAAATGCATTGAAAATGAAAATAAATTTATTTTTCAGAGTTATATATCATTGAATATATTTCTTTCAAAAATTTATATTATTTCGTAGAAATTGTCTTACTGCAACTAAGATAAAATAAATATTTGGAAT